TCCAGGCCCTTGGCGCACGAATGCTATGTGGTGCTGCCATCGGATAGTCCGCAACTAAAGGGGTCGGCCCAGTCCCTGGTGCTCCCGGTTATCATCAACCACAGAGGCGGCTGGCCCGGAACTTGACCCTATAAAGGGGCGTGTTAGATATACCTCTTCAGTGGGGGTTGTCATACAAGGGAGGATCTACCAACTGACGGCGCTGCATTTGGGGAAGCTTTGCGGGGCAATTTGGGGTCACCTCGAGCATCACTCTCAAGTCTCTGAGTCTTCGATCAAGCTCAACCAAGGTCCTGCAAAAGTCAGCGCGGGTCGTCGTTTGGGACCTGCTTGGCTTACAGTGCTGCTGATGGCTGCATGACACTGTCCGGATAACCGCATTTGTCGTCCCAGCCTCGGAGCGAGCAAGCGGTGCACACTGGCCTTCTTCCGTCGCATCCTGTCTTGCGCGCCCGGCAGGGGTTGCAAGCCAACCGCGCCTTGCGGCGTCGCTGGGGCGGCTGCCCAGTCTCAGCGACAAATGTGTGCTGCAGTTGCGGTGTCCCCATGGTAGGAGATTGCCGGGGAGGAAAAGTCACGATACCGGCGAAGCGGCGAGGCCTCTTCCTCAGGTCCTCAGGACCACAGACAGGGCAGGCGGGTCGCGAGAGGAAGAGCCGCGCCGCATTATGTAATGCGCCCAGCCTTCTGGCTGGCGAGCTTGTCGATTGGGCTGCGGCACAAAAACCGGTCGAATATTGACAGGGGGAAAACAAGCGCTGCTCAGGCCAGTCTTGGCCAGGTGCCGATCCCACAAACCAACCAGCAGCCAGAACCATGAGAATCGGGTGTGATGTTTGGGTCGAGGAGAAGAGGCGGCGGGAATGGTACCCAGCATCGGCCGGGAGCGCAGGCGAGGCACCACGCTCCCTCGGCAGGGTGCTCTGCAGTTAAGAGAGAGGTGGGTCGTTGACCGCCCCGGCCAGGCTCAGATGATCGTCCTGCGGCGCCATCCAAGCGTGGCCGAGCTGACATTCCTTCGTGTGAACTTAACTGTGTCGAGATTAGAGCAGAACGGCCCTTGCTGGTTTCTTATAAACACGCGCATTGTTTGGGCTGCTTACAGAAAGCAACATGAGGATCAGCCAGCCTTATTTTCATATCTGAGTAGAAGCGCCTTCCTCCGTGATGACAGGGCAGTATTCGTAAGTCGAGTGAGTGAGTCCAAGGACGGGAGTTCGTCGGTCGGGCCGGTTATTTCTGCCAATGTGTAAGGGACAGCTTTGGGAGACAGACAGCCTTGCTGTATCAAGTTATCGAACTGGATCAGCCGCACACATACAACAAGTATACGCCACCGTCCTCGCGCTTCTCGATACGACGAGGGTGGCCGAACACGGAAATGGTGGGGCTCAATAAGTCTTCAAGAGGTAGTCGCGAGGCTGGATCGGATTTAGGTTCGAAGCAGCATGATGCTCGGTATCTCCATCTGGACCGAGCTGGTTTTGTACTAGCCGGTGGCAGCGTCCTCGCATGGCAGAGGGAAGATGGGATTGATGATTTCCAGGGCCCGCTGTGATGGTGGGGGAAAGAAGAACGAGGGACCTGAGCAAGGCTGTCACACGTGTAATTTCCCCACAGCGGGGATCCCCACTGTCAGGAACCACCCAGAAGCTCGCCCACAGCGCGGCCTCAGCGAGCGCAACCAGCGAGCAACATCAGAGAAGTACCTTAGAATTGAAGTTACAGCAGTGCAACTACATCTTACAGCGTCTTCCCCTCCGACAACAACCCCACAAACTGCTCAATCTTCTTTTTACGCGTCTCTTCCCGTTTCACGGTCGCGATGCGCCACAAAAACGCGTAGCGCTTGGTCTTTCCCAGGCCCTCAAAGAATGTCTTGGCCTTCTTGTTTCGACCGAGCGCCGCCTGGAAATCGTCGGGAACTTCCATCAGGCTGGACGAAGAGTAGGCCTTTTCCCACCGCCCATCCGCCTTCGCGGCGTCGATCTCTGTCTGGCCCGCCGGCCGCATGCGCCCTGTCTCAACGAGCACGGCGACCTTGGCGCAGTTCCGCTGCGACCACATGCTTCGCTTGCGACGCGGCGTGAACCGCTGCAGGAAGTGGTCCACGTCGTGGCTCTTTTTCTGCCCGTCGATCCACCCGAAACACAGTGCCGTGTCGAGGGCCTCGTCGTAGGTGATAGATGCGATGGCGCTGCCCTTTTTGCTGATCTTCAACCACAAGCCCGTCGGGTCGGTGTGGTTCGCCTCGAGCCACGTTTCCCAAGCAGCCACGTGCTCGAAGAGCCGGATTGGTGGTGTTGTTGGGGATGCTGGGGTTGCTGGGGTTGCTAACACTGCTGGGACTGCTGGGACTGTTCGAGTTGTTCGGGCTGCTGGGATTGCTGGGGCCGGTGTCGCCTTGGCTGTTTGCAGCGCTTTCGCCGCGAGCCTGGTGCTGGTACGCGGCGACATGTTTCCCGTGTTCACCGCGAGTTTTACTGATAGCTGGTCTTTCGCCCAGCTGAAGTTGATCTGGCCAGGGAGCCGGGAGCCGGGGTGGCAGCCGCTGATGATCAATTACAGCCCCTCCCCCCAGGGTTGGGGTTTGGAACTGTCACCAAAAACACCCTTCCCTTGTCGACTTCGTCGCATTGTCTATTTACGAATACATATGTAAGTTGGCAAGTGAAAGAAATGCCCCTTCACACCTTGACGAATTCCCACACGATGCCTTTAATATCCGCGTTTGCAACCAAACTGCCGTCCCTATTGAGGCCCACCGTCAGCAACTTCCCATGGACCGACACCAGCAACTGGTAGCCACCGCTTGGATGTCTCTTCGTAGCGAAACACTCCCATCCTAGGTGATGTGTGACCTCGGCCTGCAGAGTACCCCAGAAGTTGATCCCCAGATACCTTTCCCGAGTCGTATTGCAAAGCCCGAAGCACCCGTCTTTCTCGA